TAACGAAATTTTGTAGCTCACGGGTACCAATAATAGGTATCAGAACCGGTATAAATGTATATATAAACGAGAAGAAACGTGTGAGTCGTTTCTGGGGACACGACTCTACTTATACCCGTACTCAGTCAGTATATACATTATTGAGCTTATGATTTTTTAGAATTTTAGAAAAAGAAAAAAAATTTTACATATTACATTTTTTTGCTACATCTGCTATCTACATCTACATATACAATGTCTATTCTACATCTAACATGTAGATTGTACATGTTCCATTCATATTCTACATCTCCTCCGCTAGGGATTGCTCGCGCACTGAACGCGGCAGAGTTGCGTTGTCTGGATCGGGAGGGGGAGGGGAAGCAACTGAAAATTAATTTCTTCATTCTGGCTATAATTACACTAGTCAACACGATTTTTCCTCAAGGAACAAAACGAACTTTTTCTTAAAGATTTGGGGCTTAGAAATGGTTTGATGATATTTTTTTTTTTTCTATGGCAGAACTTTTTTTTGAAAAATTTTTGAAAACTGGTATTTTTTTTTAAAGCTTTTTTCAGAGGTAGCGTGTTTTTTTCACATAGTTCTAGTACTTACGCTGGTTGTAAAGAACTTTGCTATTTTGAAAGATATTGAAACAGCTAGAAGTTGATGCCAAACACTTTGTGATTTCAGCTTACCGTTGGGAAATATAAGCATTAAAATGCAAAATGATGATTTTTGTGGGTATTTTTTACGAAATTTTGACTTTAAAAACTCAGAAAAGTCGAAAAAAAATTATATTTTGTGTCCTTTTTTTGTGTATAGGTGCGTTAATTTGGCGTCGTTTAAGGTATCGCTCATTAAAATCTATGGAGGACTTTGGGGTAAAATTCGTTAACCAAACCTAAAATATGGAAAATGAACAAAAAATACCTTTTTGAAGGCGGCGGGCCCAACTGCCAATTGGGAACAAAGCAAACGAAAAAGGGTTGTGCATTTGGTACCTGATCGCGATCCCAATTCCCAATGGGCAGTTGACCTCGCAACCATCGAAAAGGTATTTTTTGTTCATTTTTTCATTTTTTAGGTTTAGTTAACGAATTTTAGCTTCAAAGTCTCTCCATAGATTTTAATGAGCGATACCTTGAACGACGCCAAATTAATGCACCTATACACAAATAGGGACAAGGATATAATTTTTTTTGACTTTTCCTGAGTTTTTAAAGTCAAAATTTAGTAAATACCGCAAAAATCATCATTTTTGCATTTCAATGCTTTATATTTCCCAGACGGTAAGCTGTAATCACAATGTGTTTGGGCTTAACTTCTAGCTGTTTTAATTATCTTTTCAAAATAGCAAAGTTCTTTACAACCAGGTAATACTAGAACTATGTGAAAAAAACCGCTCCTCTGAAAAAGCTTAAAAAAAAATACCAGACTTCAAAAATTCTTCAAAAAAAGTTCTGCCATAGAAAAAAAACCATAATTCTTAAAAAAAATTTAAATCCCCATATCTATCAGAAAAAGTCGGTTTGCATCCTTGAGGAAAAAAAAAGTTCAATTTTGTCGAGTAGTGTTATGATTTATTTATTTATTTATTTATTTATTTACTTATTTCCTAGTGCGACAAGAAAGTTTCTTATAAATTAATGCACTAGTCACAAAACATGAAACGTTAAAGGAAATTAATTCTTTGTTTGGTTGTTAGTCGATATGATTAACCTACTTAGCCTATTTATATTTTTATGTTCATTTTTTGATTTTTTATTTATTTAATTTATAGTTTTATTATATTTATTTTACTATTACTGTTTTTATTATTTTTACTTATATTACTATTAATAGTTTTTTATACCCGTACTCAAAAAAGAGTTAAGGGGTATATTAGATTTGTGGTAGAAGTGGATGTGTGTAACGCAGAGAAGGAAACGTTTCCGACCCCATAAAGTATATATATTCTTGATCAGCATCAATAGCCGAGTCGATATAGCCATGTCTGTCTGTCCGTCTGTCCGTCTGTCTGTCTGTCTGTCTTGTTGAGCGCCTAGATCTCAGAGACTATATGAGCTAGGGCAACCAAATTTGGTTTCCAGACTCATGTGATATCACACTGCTACAAGTGTATTTTAAAATTTCACCCCGCCCCCTTCCGCCCACACAAAGGACGAAAATCTGTGGCAGGCACATTTTTAAAGATACGATAAAACTAAAAACGGATGTGTTTAGAGAATGACCATATCTACCAGACTGCCGAATCTGAATCAGATCAGATCATAATTATAGCCAGAATGAAGAAATTAATTTTCTGTTGCTTCCCCTCCCCCTCTCACCAACGACAACGCAACTCATTTTCCTTCTCGCTCGCACACTCTGCCGCGTTCAGTGCGCGAGCAACCCCTAGCGGAGGAGATGTAGAATCTGATTGGAACATGTACAATCTACATGTTAGATGTAGAATATACATTGTATATGTAGATGTAGATATCATATGTAGCAAAAAAATGTAAAATTAAAAATTTTTTTTTTTCTATGATTCTTAAAAATCATAAGCTCAAAAATGTATATACTGACTGAGTACGGGTATAAGTAGAGTCGCGTCCCCAGAAGCGACTCACACGTTCCTTCTCGTTAAGTATAAATTTAATTTTTCCCTATATTGCGATGCACTACTAATTTTCTTTAGGTTTTGTGGTAGCTGATTCCACAGACGAATAGCATGTATAAAAAATTGCCGCTCGGAACAGCCAAGCTTGTAACGAATATTAATAATATTGTTGGTTCTTGCAGACACACCAAAACGCAGCTTTTCATATAAATAGCTCGGTTCTCCTGTATAAACGATTTTATGCAACATTATTAAAGTTCTGTAGTCTTTCCAAGTTTCAAACTTCATCTGATTGATGCTGTCAGCCAAACTGGATATGTGTTCACCCCTCTTAACATTGAAGACATATCTAGCTACATTATTGTATGCCACTTTTAGTCTGTGCTGAGATGCCCTATCACTCCAAAAATTTCAATACCATAACACAGCGTGGGTATAAGATATGTTTTGGCTATTAAGAGTCTGAGTTGTTTTGGCAAAAATTGCTGAGTCAAGGAAAGTTGTCTTATTATACCATACGTTTTACCGGCTGCCTTGGTTACTTGGTCACTCCAGGACAATGTCTTGTTTATGGTGATTCCAAGATTAACAGCCTGATCCACATATTCAATTAGCGTGTTATTTATTGATAATTTAGGCAGATTTTCCGTGCTCAGCAACCTTTTATATATAATAATACATTTAGATTTGACAGGGTTTAGCGACAATCCATTACAGTTGGCCCATTTACTAACGTTCGACAGTTCAACATTACACAACAATACACACTCATTTATTCTGCTTAACGGACAACTAACATACATTTGGACATCATCGGCATACATATGAACTTTACACTTGGATAACGAACCAGGGAGATCATTAACATATAGGGTGAAGAGGGTGGACCAAGGATTGAACCTTGGGTACTCCGCTCTCCAGGTAGAAATGTTGATATTTCACTGTCAGTTTTCACAGCTTGGCTTCTTCCATGCAGATAGGACGATATTAGTTTTACTGCAGTGTTAGTAAAATTAAAGAATTTGTTTAACTTAGTACATAGGATATTGTGGTCTACCGTGTCAAAAGCTTTACTAAAGTCCAAGAGTGTCAGAAATGTAACCTTACTATCGTCAAGTTCCTCTCTAATGTTTTCTGTGACATCTAAAATGGCAGTAGTACAGCTTCGGAATTTACGGAAGCCGGATTGTTTATTGATCAATCCGATCTGATTCAAATTTGGCAGTCTGGTAGATATGGACATTCTCTACGATACTGCGTTTTTAGTTTTATCGTATCTTTAAAATTGTGCCTGCCACAGATTTTCGTCCTTTGTGGGGGCGGAAGGGGGCGGGGCGAAATTTTGAAATACACTTGTAGCAGTGGGATATCACATGAGTCTGGAAACCAAATTTGGTTGCCCTAGCTTTTATAGTCTCTGAGATCTAGGCGCTCAACAAGACGGACAGACAGACAGACGGACAGACGGACAGACAGACATGGCTATATCGACTCGGCTATTGATGCTGATCAAGAATATATATACTTTATGGGGTCGGAAACGTTTCCTTCTCTGCGTTACACACATCCACTTTTACCACAAATCTAATATACCCCTTAACTCTTTTTTGAGTACGGGTATAAAAAACACATAACATACGCATTAATTGGTAAAAAAATATGTCAATCTAGGATAAAATCATTATTAATGTTTCAATGGATCTTGGAAAAACAAATTTAACATCAATTAAAGGAAATACGGTATACAAAAGTCCATACGCATAGAAGAAACTTGGTTGACCAGCAACAATGAAGTCACATTTAGTCAACATTTACGTTTTATGCTTTGGCCGTTTTTGTTTGAACCTTATTATGTGAAGAATCCAATGAGTCCAAACGAGTTCTGAAAACTAGCCAATCCTGAAGAAAAAATATATTGAGGTATTGGATAAAATATTTGTTTAGGGCTGAGAGGGCCAACTAGCTAGTACTTTTAAACTGAATATCAAAATTATGGAATACGATTGCAATCAATAAAATAGAACGTTATCGCATTGTCAACCAGGGGGCTATTCAATATTTCCACGAAATTTATGTAACTTTAACGTATTTTACGCATTACAGGTGGTCGGTGGTCAATTTTGTTTTTTAAGTAAAGGGAGGATGGAGCTACAAGGAGCCTTTAGGTTAGGTTGGGGGGGGGGCGGCCCGACCCGGCCGGTTCGGCCCACAGGAGCCTTTACAAACAGTAATATTTTCCACGGTTTAACAAAGGGTGCTCAACTTTTTAAATAGAAGTGTGTTAAGTCTCGTTTGATCACCGGATAGCCCTGGTTTTCTTATGGTATGGCATTTAAATGGTATTTCTCGAAACTGAAAAGGTATTTTATTTATTTTTTGGCCGGATTGTATTTTGTATTGTATCGTTATCGTCACGCTGCGCAGGAAAACGGGTATTTTATCCGTTAGTCCGCGGTGGTCACACTAATTCATTTATTGAACGCAGGAAAACGTGTGTTGGGTGATTTGTTAAATTTAGGTAAAACTGTTGACATATAATTAGCAAAAACGTTCGTACCCGCCAGCTCTAGAATAGAGTCGATTAGTGTTCAAAAAGCATTTAAAAGATTAAGAAAACCTCATTCAATCGCTTGAATATAAGTTTGCGAGTTAGAGCAAGCGAGAGGACCGAAGGCCGGACGCTAGAAATTTCGATTCACAAACGAACCCCAAATCCATAATTGATGTGAAAAAGTGTACATCGAGTAGAAAGTTCTGGATTTATTTGTCAACGAAAAGTAGAAACTAAATCGACACGTGCGTGTTTTATATTTTATCTAATGCCTGGCTTCTCTGCTTATCTATTTTGCAGTACTGGTGTTGGTGTTTGCCCGAGCTGGAAAACAAAGAAAAATTAAGAGTGCGATTCTCCGCCCCATACCGTTCAGCAGCAGAATATCCAAATAAGTCAAATACGAGTAATATAACTAACTCAATTTAATCGAAAAAGGGCCAGACGAAGGATACAAAATGTCTGTGATTGGCATCGATTTTGGCAACGAGAGCTGCCTTGTTGCGGCGGCCAGGTCTGGCGGCATCGAAACGCTGGCCAACGACTACAGTCTACGCGCAACACCGTGAGTACCATAAAACATAATTATTCATTCGCTTACATTAAGTGCTGTAATAGAATAGCCCAATTTATTGATAAGCTTTCCGTGCATAATCGTTCGACTTTCAGCCTTTGAGGTTAGGTAGTCATTTGTAAGTCATGCCTCTCTACCCGTGTGTGTATGCGTATGAGTGTGCGTGTGTAAGAGCGCGCCTAGAAATTTCCATGGTTGTTGTTGGTAACGCTCATTTGAGAAAACATACTCTTGTATAGGCATATGTACATGTGACAGATATGTGCATACATTATGTACATACATATATGCATTTATATGTGCAATTGTGACAGATTGCAAAGGCCTAAATTTGGCTGGCTGCACTTCCATAAAAAGTTTCGCAAATTGCAATTTTAATGAGGAGCAAGCGCTGTCATGCCACAACACAACACAAGAACACAACGCAACGGCTCTCTAATTTATTGCCTTGCCTAAACATATTTATGTATATGTACATGTGCGCTCGTAGATATGTGTTTTTAATTTAAATGTGGATTGCGTGGGCCCAATTTCCACTCTTCTTTACTTATTTGAATTGACTTTTTTTGGCGCACACATACACACAACACACAAGGCAATGCATGCGTCATGCGGTCAAGAAAGGCAGCATCAAAGGTGAGAGACGCAGCAGCAGCTGTTGTGAGAGCACTAGAAGAAGAAGAAGAAGGGGGAAAGAGAGTGAGAGAAAAAAAAACGTGTGCAAAGCTGTCAAAAAACTCAGCCGGCAAACACAGACGCACACTAACGAATATATACAGTGGAGCCCACATGTGTATGCACAAAGCACATTTATGGTTGTTTAGGGGAAGGGATATAGATTCTAGAATGTTCACTAGGCTGGCTTCACTGTACAAGAGGGTGACCATGGCAAACAATTCTCAAGAGAAATGAGTACAATGTTGATTGACTTTAGTCGCTTTTTGCATAGTTTTGACTGTACTAAAAATACCCCGCCGCTTAGTAGTCGGACACGCACACATGCACGCTTAAATCGAGAAATGATTTTGCTTTGTTTTTAACCATATATGTCTTGTTGACTTGAACTAATCAGAGCCGTACCCACCTCCCATCCGACAGCTCCGTTGTGGCCTTCGATGGAAAGAAGCGAATCATTGGCGTAGCCGCCAAAAATCAACAGGTGACAAATATGAAAAACACAGTCGGCGGCTTCAAGCGTCTGCTCGGACGCAAATTCAATGATCCACATGTACAACACGAACTCACGAGCATTCCAGCGCGAGTGGAGGCGCGCGGCGATGGCAGCATCGGCTTTAAGGTCAACTACTTGGAGGAGGATCAGCACTTCAGTCCCGAGCAGCTGACTGCCATGCTGTTCACCAAGCTGAAGGAGACCTCGGCGGCCGCGATGCAGACACAGGTGAACGACTGTGTCATCGCCTGCCCGATCTTCTTTACGAACGCCGAGCGTCGGGCCCTGCTGGATGCTGCCCAGATTGCTGGACTGAACGTGTTGCGTCTGCTGAACGAGACGACGGCCACTGCTCTAGCCTACGGCTTCTACAAGAACGATCTGTTCGAGGATAAGCCAAAGAACGTTATATTCATTGACTTTGGCCACTCGGCACTGCAGGTCAGTGCCTGTTCGTTCACCAAGGGCAAGCTAAAGATGCTGGCCAGCACCTGGGACCAGATCGGTGGACGGGACTTCGACCTGGCCGTGGCCGAGTTCTTTGCCAAGGAGTTCCAGGAGCGCTATAAGATCAATGCCAAGACCAATGCCCGAGCCAATCTCCGCCTGCTCACGGAGATTGAGAAGCTGAAGAAGCAGATGTCCGCAAACAGCACTAAATTGCCCTTGAACATTGAATGCTTCTTGGAGGACATCGACGTCTCCTCGTCCATGCAGCGCTCCCAAATGGAGGAGCTCTGCGCTCCCGTTTTGCAGCGCGTCGAACAGACCTTCAAGCGTCTGCTGGCCGAATCGAAGCTGCAGCTCGATGATATACACTCTGTGGAGATTGTTGGCGGCAGCTCGCGCATTCCATCCGTCAAGCAGCTCATCGAGCAGGTGATGTCTCAGCACACTTCCTACATCTGCATCTCTCTCTAACCCCGGCTTCTCGCTTCTCCATTGCAGGTGTTCAACAAGCCGGCCAGCACCACCCTCAACCAGGACGAGGCCGTGGCGCGCGGTGCCGCCCTCCAGTGCGCCATCATGTCGCCGGCTGTGCGTGTCCGGGAGTTCGGTGTGACCGACATACAGAACTATGCCGTGAAGGTACTGTGGGACAGCGAGGGCTCGGCCGGACCGGGAGAGATTGAGATCTTCCCACAGTTCCATGCCTCGCCATTCAGCCGCCTGCTGACCATCAACCGCAAGGGGCCCTTCAATGTGTCGATTGTTTATGGGCAGCAGGTCCCATATCCCGATCAGACCATTGGCGTGTGGAAGGTCAAGGATGTCAAGCCCAATGAGCGCGGCGAGGGTCAGGAGGTCAAGCTCAAGGTGCGCATCAACAGCAACGGCATTTTGCTGATCTCCTCGGCCACTCTGGTGGAGAAGAAGGAAGCTGAAGAGGCTGCTGCTGCCGCCGCCGCAGCAGAGCAGGCTGCCAGCGAGGAGAAGTCCAGCGAACAGGCCAGCAACTCTGGCGAGACCGCCGACGGCCAGCAGGAGGTGAGTCTGCCATCTACTCCTCGGTTTGCCTGCTCATCGTCATCATTTTCTTCTGTTGTGGCTAGGAGTTGTTCTGCAGTTTCCATTTCAGTTTTACTTTTTCCTCCTTTGCATCTCTCGTCACTCGCCACTTAACCTAACCCACTTCCCTTTGTACTTTTTGAGCTCATTTTGTTGGCTGCAGTTTGTAGATTTAGGGCGATAAAAAATTAGTTTCCAAGTGATTCAATTCAATTCATCCAATCGACATTATATTTTCCAAGTTTTCCACTCGTATGTCCGTTGTACCTAAGCTCTATAGTTGATATACAGATTTTCATACATAATTCATCATATTAATTTATTACCAGCTTGTGTTCCGTTTTCTTTTTGCAAGGGCTCTTGCCGCTTCGGCCTGCCGACTTGAAGATTTTCTTACCTTTCGTTCAATTTTTATTTTGTTTGATTGGTTTGTTTTTTTCGTTGCATTCCATAAAGAGTTTCTATCTACATAGTTTTGATGTTGTCTTTAATTAGTTAAAGTCCGCCCCCTCTCTAGAGCTGCAATAGAAGCGATGTCAATATAGATTTATTTCATCGATGCTCCATTTCTACACAATTCACAACAGCAGACGTCTTTCTTTTTCTCTTATCAAGACCACTAACTATGGCATCAAAGAGTAAGGGGTACAAATGTTAATTGACGGGGCGGTTTTTGTTTTGTTTCAAACGTTTTTTTTGTTTTTAAACATCGATAGACATTGACGGTTAGTTTTGTTGCAGCTCTAGCAAAGCCCTAGCTTCCATTTCATGCTAATATATTGGTTGGCTTGATAATGAAATCATTTTGCAGTACTTTACTAAATCCTATTGATGTTGTTATTGGTGTTGATTGATCTACGGTTCGATTTTTTAAAGTCCGGTCAAAGATATTTCACAATACTATGGAATAAATTGAATTTTACTTTGCAACTGGACGTTGATAAGTCGAACCACCGATTGGTCTCTCGTTTCGTTTATTTTGTATATTCTGTAGACATGCAAATTTGAATGTGTATGATGTATATCAATCACCCATATATACATATATACTATAGATGTATAAATCACTCCAATATTTGATTTTGTTTGTTTGTTTTGGATATGTTTGGGAACGCGCGCGCGCACGCGTTTTTGCTCTCTCGTAGGCATATTATGAGAATGAGGATGATAATAATGCATCAACAGCCTCATCACCTGGCGGACAAGGGTGGGCACAGCGGGTCAAGGGCTGGTTTAGTTCGGTACGTTCTCCTCAAATTTCCTCAAATTTCAATTTAAAAAACAAACAAAATTAAAAAAAAAAAAAATGAACCACACACAAAACAATAATGTTACAAATAAAAATGTTCTTTTCCCCATATTTTGTGTGTCAAGAAATTGGAAATAACGAAAGTTAACAAAAACAAGAAAAGAAAGCTAAAGCACACAAACATTGGAAAATTTAATTGCCTTGAATGTTTTTGTGTCCTTTATCCTTTGTCACCGATAATGAAACGAATGAAGAAGACCGCTCATAAGCCGCCTACCCCGTGTGCTCCCAAATGAAAAATGAAAATATATCTCTGAAAACTATCTTTAAACATGCTTACACAATTTGCCAAATTATCTGTTGCTTCTACATGCACCACCGAACCGATCTACATACATACTCGTACTCGTACCACCGATTGATTTTATTATTTGTTAATTCACCCAGAAATTCAGTCCAATCGATCCCCCCCAAACCGAGTGTCATATAAAACCAATATGCTATATGCTATACAATATACCCTATAAATACCCAAAGATATCTTTGCTGCTCATATTGTAGGCTGTTGCTTGGAGCTGTTTTTTTCCTCTTCGCTTTATTGTTGATGTTTTCTTGTTGCTGCTGCGATTCGATTTCCTCTTTCTATTTGAACTTGAATTGAAATTTCATTTGCAATTCTATGCAATCTCCTTCAAAAAATGAAATTGGGATTAATTTGTGCTCTCCTTTTGGTGCTTAGGGGTCCGATAAGAAGAAGAAGGGCGGCAAGGCCACTGAGCTGCCTCTGGAGGTGTCCACACACGGCTTCAGCCCCGTGGATCTAAGCAACTACACACAGCAGGAGGCCAAAATGATTGGCAGCGACCTGAAGGAGACGGAGCGCATCGATGCCAGAAATGCATTGGAGGAGTTTGTCTACGATATGCGCAACAAGCTGCAGGTATTTTTTGACTTATTCCATCATTATTATTATTATCAGTTCTTTACTGACATTTCCCCTCCCCTTTGTGCTCAGGGTGGATCCTTGGAGCGGTTCGTGCTGGAGTCGGAGCGCGAGGCGATTGTGTCGCAGCTAAATGATCTCGAGAACTGGCTGTACGAGGATGGCGAGAACTGCGAACGTGAGACGTATGCCAAGCGTCTGGAGGACCTGCATAAGAAAACGGACCCCATCAAGCAGCGGGCCAACGACTACGATCAGTGTCCAGCTGTGTTTGAGGAGCTGAAGGGCAGCATTGCCATTGCCCGCTTGGCGGTGGCAGAGTTCCGCAAGGGTCTGTCCAAATACGATCACCTGACGGAGACCGAGTTCATCAATATCTCGGAGACAGCGGAAAAGGCCCAAAAATGGCTGGATGTCAACCTGGCCAAGTTCACGCAGTCGCCACGCACCAACGATAGTCCCGTCCAGCTGACGGCAGTTCGCTTCGAGGTGCAGTCTCTGAATGCCTGCGTCAGCTCGGTGGTCAACCGTGCGAAACCGAAGCCGGCTCCGGCCAAGACGGCGACACCGCCCAAGGATGCCGAAGCGAATGCCGAGCAGAACGGAGGCGAGCCCACTGGCAAGGCTGGCGATAAGATGGACGTGGACAACAATGCACAGAGTGCGTCCGATCCCAATATGGATGTGGAGTGATGTGTGGGCCGCACCAGCCGCCTGTCCGTCCTCCCATCAACAACGGTATTGGCTACAAATAATAATAATATAATAATAACGATAACTTAACGGTCAACATACGAAACATATATGAAAGAAAATTGTATATGCACGCGCTTCAGGACTAGCAAACTATACATTACACAATAAAAGCCACGAAAAATCTACACAATCAAGGAACGGAAACAGAAAAAACAACCAAACCAACCAATACAAATATTTAAGAAAAATCTGATTAAATGCAGCCTGCAGCTGCCATTGCAAGACCTGCTATAAATGTGGGACAAGCACGGGAACAGGAGGAGGAAGCAAACGGAGCTGGAGTTGGAGCTGCTGCATGCTGTGTGGATATTGCTACACAAAAATTAACAAAACAATTTCTAATCGACCATTTTTCATATATTTGAATAACAAAAACAACCAAGCGACACTAAATGAATGGAATTTAAATAATCAAATAAAACAAAGATGATTCCAAATAAACAGCGAATTTCCTTCTCTTCAAATGAAGATTCGTAATTGAAACAAGGCTCTTCTATTTAAATGCTTGGGGGGTATACTAGTACTGCCTCTTTATTTATATATGTTTGTGTAAGATCCATCCCTTAGCACAGGGGGATAAACTACGCTGGAATGTCCGGTGCTATTGCATTTTTAAAACATTCTCGACCATTTCCTTACAATTTAGAGTATTTTTTAAGAGAGGACACTAGTTTCAAAGCTTTTTATATAAATATAAAATATATATATATTATTAATATATATATGTTCACATTTTTGTTCCGTTACGGTAGGTCAGGGGTTCTGAATGGGTAGGTGGAACTATCGTGTGCCGATTTGCTCTTAAGCCGCGCGCACCCAATAGCCGAAATCTTGTCTGAAAGCATTCTTTTTTTTTGGCTCGAAAAAAAGTATTTATGTGCAGAAAATCTTCGGCGTTGCTTTGTGAGGCAGCGGAATCGAAGTAAATTTTGAATTTTCCCTGAGCAGTAGGAATCTAAGGCGGATAGCAGCATCGAGAGCTGCCTTCACAGTCGAGCGACCTGACCTCGTTTATTCAGCGACTGCTCCCTAGCACCCTTTTTCAGTCCCTTGTTGGCCTCGTATCCAACGAGACTATCCATCGAGTAGAATTTTCCGTCTCTGAAACATTAGCTTAAAGGGACATGCTGGTTAGCTGCCGTTGGAAACTAAAATTAGATCGAATGCCTAACTTTGCGGTTAACTTTATTGGCGCTTACAAGACGATAAAAACTCGTTTACAAAGAGGAATGCGAATGCGGTTGCGTGTGTGTGAAGCGTGGCGTGAGTACAATGGATAGTATTTAATGGGAATCAGACATAGACATATACATATATGCCATACATATGTATAAGTCGGCTGTGACTAGTGTGTGACGAGCTCAGTGCTAAGTGCTCAGTGTTCCTGCTCTTCGATGCGGTCCAATTTAATTATCAAAGCGTTGATTATGCAGGCGCCAGCCTCTTTGGTGAACCAGCACAGATCGTTTAGAAGATGTACCGACGATTCGGTGGGGGCGGGCGGCGAAGCGCCGCTATCGTGGGCTTGGCCTTGGCCCGATCCCGTCCCCGAGTCATGATCGACAGAGCCCATGCTGCGACGCTTGGCTTCGGCGGCCGCCCTGCCAGTGGTCACCCCGGAAATGGACTGGCGACGGACATAGACCTCGAAGGAGGTGGAAATGCGATGCAGTCCCTGCTCGGACGCATAGTGGTGCTGGGGCAGCACGGGCTCTATGACCGTGGCGTTGGGGGAGTAGTAAAGCTCCAGCCGGGTGCCCGGCTCGTCTTTGTGCGTGCCCGCAGCTGCTGCAGCGGCCGTCTCCTCGTCGGCGGCGTCTGTTTCCAGCGGAAGCGGTTGGCCGCGATCCAAGATGGCCCGTATCTTGTCCACCCGCGTCATGTAGTAGAATGGCAGCCAATCCCCGTTGAGATCGAAATGAACCTGGGCAGCCGCCGACGACGAGCCGCCGCCCGCCGAAGCTGCTGTCACGGAGGTGCTCAATACGTTCACCGTCTGCTGGTTGAGCTTGAAGTAGACCCAGCCCTCCAGTTTGTCGCCGTTGCCATTGCTGGGTCCGCTGCACTTTAGACAAAAGCAAATCGGCTCCAGGCGGCTGTCGAAGAAGGCCTGCGGCAGCACCAGCGAGGCACAGAAACGCCTCACCTGGCGCAGATACTCGCAATCGTTCTGCTCCAGACTGGCTGCGTTTGCGGAGCGCAGCGACTCGGCACGCAGGTGGGCGGAAGAGTTTGCATCCGACTCGAGCGAATTGAGAGACGGCAGATTCAGATCCAAGCTCAACAACGATGTCGGATCCGGCATCAGGTGGTGGCGCGTGTACTCGTTCTGCTGCAGCTGCTGCAGCAACAGCAAATGGTTCATGTAGTCGATCTCATCGTCCTCCAGAACATTATCGATCGAGCCCGCTAGCTCCCCCGACAGCTCTCTCAGTTCCCTCTCATGGCTGCTGCCGATCAGTTCCGCCGCCTCGGCATTGTTCTCGCTCTGCTCTGTGGCCGACGTTGCTGATGTGCTCACCGTTGCTGCCGTGGCCGCCCCCTCGTCAACAGAGGCGGAATTTGTCAAGGCTGGATTCGGCAGCTCGTCGTACTCCTTGTTGGTGTCGTACACACTCGAATTGCTCAGGTGCTGGGCATTGCCCGCGGAGCCACTAGGCCCACCGCCGCCACTGCCTGCTGTGGCTGCTGTCGTGGAGCTATTCAGCGAGTTTTGAAAGCGTTGAGTGCTCTGACTGCGCTGTATGTTCAAGTTGGTGTTGTGCTGCAGCTGCAGAGACTCGCGCAGGCAGCTGTCGGGGGGAAATGTAAGGGGAACGAGATATGTAATGAGATAACAAAGTTCTTCAGAGATTTCTCTTTCTTTTTCTCGCTCACCAAGTCGATGAGGATCCACCCATTTCGTTTCTTTGCTGCTCCAAAGTGCGATTCTTGATGGAGATGTTCAGCAGTAGATTCTCCGATACGCTCTCCATAACCGAGCGTGTCCTGCAGGGACATGACAATTCGAGTCAAAATCAGAATCCATTCAGATCGTTTTACACTCACATGGCATTGGTATTGGCATTGGCATTGGCATTGGCGTTGGCATTAGTATTCGAGGGAGCAGCCGATGTGGACGGACCATCTCTGGCAGATTCGCTCATCTGTTCCGTATCCTTTTCCTTTTCGTGCATTTCCAGGTGCGCCTTCTCGCACTGCTGCGGCATGCCAGCATTGTCCAGCTCCAGGGCCTCGGGTGCCTCCAGTATGGGGGTGCCATTGGCGTTGCCGTTGCGCGCGGCGTCGCTGCCCGTGATCAAGGTGATCTTCTCGCACTTGCCATACACATCAAACACGGGATACACATGGTTGGGCAGGCCGCTGGCCAAATCCTCCAGATTCGTTGACCCAACCATAATGACTACAAGATACAGACACAGATAAATAAATCATTACAAGGGATTGGGAATGGCGCCACTCACTCAGCATTCCCGCATGGGTGAGGGTCAACGTGATGACTGTTCCCACTTGGATTTGGTCCAGAGCCTCGCCGTACTTGGAGGCCAGCACCTGGCCATTGATGTTCACATAGTCGTGGGTGGCCAGCCAGCAGCTGCGCTTGAAGTCCAGCAGGGAGATGGGCAGTGTGGGGGGACATGCCGAGAGCACGCCCAGCCCCAGGGTGCCCTTCCACTTGTTGTTAATGGCATCCACCTTGATGCTGATGCTCTCGCCCTTGCACAGCGGCTTGTTCAGGCAGACCATCGCCTGATTGTACGACTTTGATCTCGCCGCACTGCGTCGGTCCTCGCTGAGACGCGCATTCTTCTGCGTCATGTCCACGAACTCGTAGTTCTGGGCCTCGGAGTCGATCGACTCCAGCATGGAGCTGTCCTGTTTGTTGAGCGGGTCGATGCCAAAGTCCATAGAGTCCTGCAGCCGCAGACTGCAGGGCCGCAGGGGAGATGCCGGCCCCTGGGCAGAGATCACCTGCACACCCATTGTCGAGCCCCGCAGCTCGGCCACCACGTACACATCGTTGGGTATATTCTGGAACTGTATGTTCACGTTCTCCGAGTTGAGCAGCATGTTCAGGGCGGAATTCTCCACGCGCTCCAGCGTGATGCGATCGTCCACGCGCAGCCACTCGAGCGACGCCAGTGAGCGCTGCAGGCAGCTCGAGTTGAAGCTCACCTCGTTCCCAGTCACATACCAAACGTTGGCCGGGATACGCTTCAGGCTCGTCGGAAGCTTCTTTCGCACGCTCTCATCGCTCAGATTCAGATCGGTGACGCCAATGCAGAGGCAGCCAGCGAACATCGGATTAATGGACGTCAGCTTGATCTCAAAGGGCGAGCCTACGCTCAGCGGGTGCTCGGAGAAGACCAGGCAGTGGGAGAGGGCGGCCGTGGAGCCAGTGAAGCGGGAGGCCTCGGTCCAGTCCTTGGTGAGGCTCACGTTGCCGGAGACACAGGTCCAGCGGTGCTTCGTCTCCATGGCGGGATGCTGTATGACCGAGGTGGCCTGGCAGCTCTGCGAGTTCTCGCTGGTGGCATACGGGGCGGCACGGATGTCCAGCTGGTTCTGCGTCAGACTGACCTGCGCACACTGCCCGTACAGGTCGATGATGGCCCAGATGTTGGGGGCATGGCACTCGCAGGCCGGTCCCTGGTCCATGCCATCCACAAAGAAGTGGATAAAGTCCCCGTTGCGCATCACGCCCACCCGAGTGCTGGGTCCCAGGGTGTCCAGATCCAGCAGGATATTCGTGCGTATGGTCTTGCGATTGTGAAAGATCATGGGCCCACACAGGATGATTGTATCGTTGGCCTCCAGATCGGTGGCATTGGGCGCCAGCTGGATGTCCTCCGGGCGCGTGCCCGTCACCCCGATCTCAATGTTGCCCGACCAATGCCGCACCATCGTCTCCAGCTCCACTTCGAAGAGTTCGCGCTGCCGCAGCGGCCGGTTGCTAAACACAATCGCATCATTGAACTCGGCCAGCGAGTTGGGGCGCGAGGCGGTCAGGCCGCTGTTCGATATGCCCGCATTCGCGCCGTGTATGCTGTGGAAGCGCAGGGGCAATTCGCTGTACAGCGTTGTGTTCGAAATGGTCGAGTTGCCCGTGTCCGGGCTGCCACACTCCGAGGTGTCCACAATGCTCGCCTGTGCCGCCTGGCCGTACAGATCGATCACCCCGTAGACACGCTCCGGCACATTGCTGGCGGCTGGCCCCTGATCCACGCCGTTCACCCAAAAGTGCAGGGTGCCGTCGTCCTTGCGCACAACGCCCACGCGGTCACCCACCTGCAGGCGGTCCAGATTCTGGCCATATTGTTCGATGACAGTGACTCCATTCTGCATGACCCCATTGCCAGTCATCATCCAAGTGCCGGATCTGCATATTGAAGGGAATGACACGAGTATCGAGGAAAGGAATCGCATGGAATACTCACCGAACGTTGGTCATGGTAAATGGAAAGTCCAGCTCGTCGGCGGTGTGTGTGGTGACGCCCATTTCCACAGAGCCAGCCCACTTGGTGACCACACGCTCGAGACGCACCTGAAAGAGTTCGTTCGGCCGCAGTGGACGTCGCGTGAGGACCACGCCATTGTTGAAGTCATCAGCGGCACTGGAACAGCAAAGGTAAAGGTAAAGGAAAAGTTGAGGCTTGACCATCGCCTAATGAAAATCATTAACTCACTTGGGGCGCAGAGCTGTGCGGCCGCTCTGCGTGACTGTGGCATGGGTGCCGCATATGTGATGGAACGTCAGGCGGTCATCGTTCCGCGCAATGGCCCGTGTGCTCGATATGGTCTCGCTCAGCCCACCAGCGGCTCCAGCCACATTCATTTCACTCTCCGGACTGAGCAGACTCAGAGTGGGAGTGCCCGATGACTGCTGCTGGAGCTGCTGCTGCTGCTGAAGAGTGCTGCTGGCGGCAGAGCAGGAGCTCATGCCGGCCACGATGTTGTTGCGCCTGGTGACGAGGTTCTGCTGCTCGCGCTCATCGCGATCCACAATGGTCACCTTGATGGTCATGCCGTACAGATCGATGACGCCCCACAAAGTGGAGGCCACTCGCGTGGCAGCCACGCCCTGATCCTGCCCGTTGATGTAGTAGTGCAGGTTGCCATTGGCCTTGCGCATCATCCCAACGCGATCGCCCTCGCGAAGCTCGTCCAGATTGAACTCGCCGTATTGGCGTCGGGTGCCCTTCCCGTTGGTGAGGATCCCACAGCCCGACATCATTATGGTGCCCGAGCGCATGTTCGTCATGGTGGCCGGGAAGTGCAGCACGGTGGGATTATGGGTGGTCACGCCCACCTCTATGGACCCCGACCACTTGTCCACAAGCTTGTCGATGCGTATTTCGAAGAGTTCGTTGTCCCGCAGCGGACGGTGTGTCATCACCACGCCATTGTTGAACTCGTCCAGGGGACGACGTCGCTCGGCGGAGCGAAAGTTGGGCGACAGCTTGACCAACGATCCACAGCGGGTGTGGAAGCGCAGGCGATCGTTGACATCATAGTAGTCGGAGCCCACAGTGACAGCACCTCCTCCATTCAGATTGAGCATGCCCAGGGCCGTCAGATTGGTGCCGTCCACGCTGACGTCCACGTTCATGGCCACATCCAGGTTCTGGACAACCTGCTGCAGCGGCTGCTGCAGTGGCGAGTCCAGTAACTATTCATCAAAATGTCAACAAATTTAGCAATCGAAATCAATGGCTTGCTTCATTCGTACCTCTCCTGCGCCGTGGGCATCGCGGGGACACAGTGAAACCTGCACACAACGGCCATAGAGATCGACGAGGGCCCAGAGGGGCTTTGGCATGTTCTTGGCGGCCACGCCTTGAGATTCACCGTTTACATAAAATACGAGATCGTTGCTGGAGGTGCGCATAACACCGACACGGTCGCCCTCGTTGAGCGTTTCCAGGTCCGTGCCATAGAATTCGAACAGCCGTCGACCATCCTTGCGAACATCGATGCCCGACATGACCCAGGTGCCGTTCCTCATGGCTGTGGCGCATGCCACCAGTTCCAGATCGTCTGGAGATTCGGCCGTAACTCCAATCTCGATGCTGCCGCCCCAAGAAGTGTTCTTTAAAAAATCATTTGTGGGGGATATTAGAACCAATCATCTTTGTCTGCCAGGTCACCTGCCGCCCGCCACTCACCTTTTTCTCAATAACCACCTCGAAAAGCACATCGTCCTGCAGCGGCTCGGCACTAAACACCAGGGCATGGCTGAAATCTCGCATCGAGCGCTGCGCCGAGCGGTTGCCATTGTACAATCTGATGAAGCGGCCGCAGCGCGTGTGAAAGGATTGCATTTGCATTTGGTGCCGTGCCCCAGTACAAATCAATGTTCAATCGGAATGGGCGGACGGGTGAGAAGCGTGCCATGCGCTTCTGATGTTGCACTTGCTCAGGTCGTGGCGTTGTTAGACAACCTCTGAATATGTTTGTTGCGATGGTTTTGCATAATTATGCGTACATATTCGAAAATTGCAACAATAAACAAAATAATAAAGAGTTTATGTGACCGCCGCCTATCGAATTCAGTAAAAACCAGCTATATCGATAGTCGCATTTGGCGATGACATCAAAATACCACATTACCACTGCATTTTTGGTATTAATATGCCAGCATTTGGACAGTAATTTGACGTGGGAAACGGGCACATCTTTCTGCTTGTCAAATTCGAGCTGGGTCAAAAAAATAACACATTTTACGTTGAGAAACAGCGCAAAATCGTGTGCTTCCTTCGGAATCCGGAACATATTGATGCACAAAAATTGCGATGTCATCGTCAGAGCAGCGTCAGAAGAAGTTCGACTTGCACCGCAACAAGGACAATACCAGCAGGACAGGGAACAACAACAACAGCGACAAAAATGTGGGTTCCTCACCAAAAAGTTTTAGGCTTCATAACTCACTGGAACGCTTGCAGATGCAGCAACCAAACGTACACAGACGTGCGGCCGGATCCAATTGGCTGGCTGCCACTGCCTCGGGAAGCGAGAACAAGGTACAGGTGGCGAAGGCGGCTGAGGAAGGATCTTCAACTGACTTCGAGCACCTGACCAAATCGGCACGCACACGCCAGAGGAAGATGGCCCAGCGCAATCGGTATTTGGCCATGGACTGCGAGATGGTTGGAGTGGGCCACAATGGGCAGGAGGACATGCTGGCCCGAGTCTCGATTGTGAATAGTGCAGGCCATGTTCTGCTGGACAAGCACGTAAAGCCGCGCCAACCGGTTACAGACTATCGCACCAGCGTTTCGGGCATACGCCCGCATGATATTGAGAATGCAGAAGACTTTGCCACCGTCCAGGACGAGGTTGTGAAGCTTCTACACGGCAAAATTCTCGTCGGCCACGCCCTGCGCAACGATCTCAACGTCCTGAGCATCAAGCATCCGTTCGAACAGATTCGCGACACATCGCGCTACAAGCCACTCTGCAAACTCGTCTCCAACGGCCATACGCCAAGTCTCAAGCGGCTCACCATGGCCGTGCTCGGCCAGGAAATCCAAACCGGCGAGCACAACTCGGTGGAGGATGCCCGCTCTGCCATGGGCATATACAATCGCATTGCCGCCGACTGGGAGAAGTATCTGGAGAAGAAGCAGCTCCAGCAGCAGCGCTTCTGATGCCCGCTCTCGGGTCCTCTCCCATGTGGGCTTTATAGTTTAAAGACGTACTGTACAAACGAGTTTCTTTTTATTGGAAACTGTTGCTTAATATATAACATGTTACAAACTAGCTACATTCTATCCCCCCATTCTTGTTCCTCCCCCACGGGCGCGTGGATGGCATTGTGGCGGTCCATCAAGTCGCGCCAAGGATCCTCCAGCATGGAGGGATGAAAGTATTGCGAGCCCTGATCCTTGAAGTGGTGGTTGGGCCTGCGATTGAAGCCCCCTCCTCCTCCACGACCAAAGTTCCGACCACGGCCCTGACCGTACGGCTGTTGTTGTTGCTGCCGGGGTCGGTGCATCTGCTCCTGGGGCGCCTTGTTCTGATAGAAATGTGGTGTACTTGGCTTTGGCTGAGCAGTTTTGTCCTCGTAGAAGCTGAAATTGGTTTGTTGTGGTTCTTGCATTCCACCAACATGCTGCAACATATAATCCGAGCCCTGTGATGGATATTGTCCCATTCCCTGGGAGTATGGCGGGAAATTGTTGAACCCCCTGCGAGGTGTACCCATCTTGAAAGTTTTTGCTAATTAATTATGTATAATTGTTTACTTTTCGAGCAAGTATGCAGAAGTTAACTTTTCCGCTTGTTTTTTAGAGGTGGGAGAACATCGATAGACCAAAACACCGATGTTTCCTATATCTATTTTGTTTTTCAAGTGAACATCTGGCCACGCTTGCAGTTTTTGCCAAATTAATATCGGTAGTGCTATCGATTGCTGCGCATCTCTAGCACAAAGCAGCGCAATTTGTCCAAACTTTTTGCTTTTAATTATTTGTTTTAAATACTCTGCAAAACGGACTCCAAACATGGAGCGCTACTTTAAGGAATTATACAAAAAGCATCCATTTCAGTGTTTCGGAGAGAAAAATCGGGAGACGCAGAAGGTGGCGCGTACCATGCGGCGCCAGGATCTCTTTCAGAGCAACCGCAACAAGTATGTGACCTCCAAACCGCTGGCGGAGGAGGCGCAGCCACGCCTTAGCTATGCCACTCCTCCGAAAGAACACCATGCTGTAGCTACGCAGGCGCAGCTCTATTTAAAGCGCTTCTTAGAATGGAAGGCGCTTAAAAAGGATAAAACAAAGAACGAACAAACTGCTCGTCGTGGTCATCAGATGCACTCGTTGCCCACACAGGTTTCTAAATTTGCTTACAGCAGCGGAACATTCACACCGCCATCGAACCTCCATCTCCAGAAAGAGAAAGCTCCAGTGTTTGGGCCTCCAAAAAAGCAGTCCTTGTACGTGCTTGTCGATAAACATTCGCGTACACCCAACACGTCAGCGGACTTGTCTTGGCCGAACCCTGTGAAATCGAGAGTAACTACAGTGAGGTCAACAACGAAGTTGCATCCTGCCTCAGTAAAGCCCCAAGCCAAAAAAATGGCTCGAGCAAATCGTGTAGACACAGCCAGTCCCAATCCAGGATGCGGCGGAGGAGCTGCGGGCAAACTAAAGCAGATCGTAGAGCAAACAAAAGCGGCCGCTTTCAAAAACCGGCCTGCCACCCCGATTTCGATTAGAATGAAGGCTAAGATAAACATTAAATGGGGAAATATGCAGAAACATGTGCGCAATCGTCCAAAACTCAGATTGGATTTGATTGAGGCGGTGAGCATGGAGCTGCCTCCCAATACGCCGTTGAGTGGAACCAGGACCAGGACCAAGCAGCTTGCCCTGGCCACGTCCACTCAACGGAGATCCAACAACTGGCCCGATGATAGTCTCGAGGGATTTGGAAACATTTCCATCATAAGTCCGGGGCAGCGGAAGTCGCAGGACAAGGTAAGAAGTAATAACTTTAAGGAGGCGTGTGCACAAATATTATCCGATATTATCCAGGAACCAGGAACTAAAAGCCAAAACCGTGGGGCTATCTTCGGAACCAAGAACAATTTTCGTCGTTTCAAATTAACCTACGAAGAAGGTAATAAAAGTGATGATGAGACAGCCCTAGGTGCCGATAAGTTGGAAGATTGCAAAGAGGCTGAAAGACATATTTAGACCATGGAGCTCGGACACACTGCGAAAATTGTATTGAATGTTTAAATTTAAATTGTACTTATGTCTATAGTTTATGCAGGTGTATGTATTTTATTTATTGTTTAAGTTGCACATATTTGTTTATGGTATTAATTTTGAAATATTTAAAAAATGTCAAACGTAATTTTAAGCTAATTTTACATGTGCTAAGACCAAACATTATTATTGCATTTATATGGTCGAACTAGTCATTTCTCGAAATTATGCTTCTTGAAATATGGCGGTCATATTTTAGATTTTAAATTGTAATTATATTGTTTGCAAGGCCCCATCGAGATGGAAGGAAGCTATGATTGTTTCTAGAAAAACGTCGCTGGTATTTCCCGGTGTTTTTCAAAATATTTATGTTAAAAGAAATTAATAAATTATTGTGGTATACAACTAGACCTAATTTCAAATATAGACTGAAAGATAGGGATTTGATATAACTCTTTTGAGAGAGAACCCCAGAGCTATGTACATACGTATATACATATACAGGAACCCAAACACCAGAGCTGATAAACAAGATGAGCGAAAAATTCAAATTATTTCTCCGACATACATAACAAATAGATTGTGTTGTACTCTTCTTGCTTACACCCAATTTTATAACTAATTGAAAGAAAAGGAGTTCTTGAAACTAGCCAATCTTGTAGAAAATTGATTCATGAATTGGATAAATTTATATGTATAGTGCTGAAAGGGCTAACTAGCTAGTAATATTAAAGCGAATATCAAAATCATGGAATATGATTTCCGTTCATCACAAGAGAACGATTAGCCCATTGTCGGCCAAGGGGGTATTTAATATTCCCACGATATGTATGTAGCATTAACATTTTGTACGCATTTCAGGTGAAAGATATCGTTCTCATTTTTTTTTTTTAAGTAAAGAGAAAGGATCTACACTATAATTTCATAAATGGTATTATTTTCCGCGGCCTAACTGAAGTTGTTCAACTGTTTAAATAGAGCGGTGGTGGGTGGGTTAAGCTATTTTTTTTCTCGGTATATTTACGGCATATCGTTCCAATCACACTCGACAAAATAAATCAAGTGAAATATTAAATTTTCCATATATTAATATACTTTTGAAAATGACCGCCAAACTCATTTAGCGCACAAAAAATACTGACATTTTTCGCTCTTGTAGATGTTGTAGAAAATGTATGTATTTATCGGATAAAATTTTTGTTTAGCGCTGAGAGGGCCAACTAGCTAGTAATATTAAACGGATTATCAAAATCGAGGAATGTAAACGTTGAATGTTTTGAAAAAAACAATCGATACTATCGTAATAGTATCGGGCTCAAATAATTATTAAAAAACAATTGAAACCTTTTAGGAACTTGTCGATTGTAAAAATTAGATGCCAACTGTCGATTTGTTTACAAATTTGTCTTCGTATTTTATAGCAGCCAATCCAAACATATCAACGAATGTAGCTCGATACTATCATGATAGTCTCAAAACCATCGATAGTAGAGGCTAGCAGCAAAACATCGATAGTGCCCTCGATGGTTTGACACCTCTAAATTACCATCTTCAGGTGGCTCACAATTTAAACGCAGAAATGAGTCTGGAGAGCGTTTTGAGTGCTATCTTTCGACTGGGTCATGGCAAGGTATGGCCCCAGTATTAAGACGGTCTAAGACCCTAGCCCCGACGGAATAAATATACCATGGTTGAGTGAAAGCACAAAATCATCCACGGTGAGTTATGTGGTGAGGTGGGTTTTTTCCTTGAAAGCTCTGGATTTTGTGACGTCATACTTCACACCTCATACCCTTATCCTTGTGGCGCAATCAAAAGTTCAACTTACCCACAGTGTTGCCAACTCTTTGGGTCATATAAAAGCTAAACTAGCCTTTGAAAAAAGCTAGAAATAGCCAGAAAATGTTGATGGTAGTTAAAAAAAAACGCTAGATGATTTTAACGCCTCTTGTTGGCATGTTTTCACAGACACAGATGCAACAAACCGCTAAGTTTTGCATTAATGCTAGACTTACAATATTTGCAAAAGCATTTCCCATCATCGGCTGAATCTAAGGCCAGCCAATCTTTTTCTTATAAATCTTAGGCATTTGAAACTTACACTTGCGATTGAATCTTATATTGTGAAATACCTCGTTGGTAATGGTATTTACAAAAATACTACAAAGTATATAAGTGTGGCATCGTAAAATCATTAAAATACATGAAGCTGCCAGAGGTTTTTGATAAGCTAAAATTACGTCAATTTGTCTTTAAAAATAGCCATAAATCCCGCAACCCGCTATTTTACAATTTATCCCGCATCTGCCAATTGAAACACGATAGATCTTGTGGGAAAATAGCTAAATTGGCAACACTGCTTACCCATTGAGCGGTCTCATTTATTCGTTATTCGTCAAAAAGTGAGCTAAACACGTATTTCATAGTGGTGCGATTAGGACCTTTATTAATTAAATAAATTGCAAAGAGTCAAAATTTAGAGCGAGCGGAAAATTAATAACGTGAGTCAAAATAACAGCAGCCGAGGAGCCTTGTCTGGGCGTGTGTGTGTGTGTTGGTGTCAAATGCAGACGGTCGCGCGGTCCGGTTAAAAGTGCATGCAACTGCAGTTGCATTTAGTTAACACTTTTCGAGCTGTTCAAATGCAAGTAAAGTAATGTTTAAAGGAATGCAACGACTCCCCGATTCGCGGAGATTTGCCATTTAGTCAAAACGACAGCGAACAAAGCACAAAAGGCGTCGCCTTTCGAAGGAGCCTTTCATTGAAATCTGGCTTTGTCTGTATTTGCGTGTGTGTGTGTATTTGTTTAGCAGCAGCCGCAGACGCCGCTGCAGCAGCAGCAGCAGCAAATTGTGGTTTTGCTTAGATTGTCAAAGAAGAAATTAAATTAAATTATCAAAATTTATATTAAATAAGCAAACAGTAGTGAAAAATACCTCATTCGGTCGCCACAACAGAAACAACAAGTCCCCGGCCACAAACAGCAGCAGCAGCACTAGCCTAGCAGGAGGAGGAGGAGGAGAAGCAAAAACAAGAACAAAAGGCAGCCGCTTTGGATATCTTCAACGAAATCAAAGAGCAACTTTCAAGTTGCCCCGAACGCACCCGCGCACTCTGTCGCACTGTATGGGGGACCCTTTCCCTATCCCTTAGCACAGCGCTCACGGCAGCGAGCATCGAAGCCGGCGACGACGGTGGCGCAGGAGCAGGACCAGGCAGAGGGGCCGGACCAGGCGGAGGTGGCGGCGCAGCGTCAGCAGCAGCAGGCGGCAGCAGTCGCTTTGCCACAATAATGGGTGCAGTCAAGTCCCGCAACATCACCACTGCCGATGTGGATGCAGATGATCAGCAGCACCACCATCCACAGCACTGCTCCCACTCCATGCTGCGCAATGGACACCACAATCACAACGGTCCTGCATCCGGGGGCGGCACGCTACAGAAGCAAGACCTGCGCTACGACATCGGCTCCAGCTCCGAGTACCATCACATCCGGCAGCCGAGCGTGCGAAGTCGCAGCCACCAACCGATGCCCACAGCAGATGAGCTGGATCGGCGGTTCGCCAAAGTTCTGGTGAGTCGTCGCTAGCCCCGTTTATCGCGAAATGGGTGACTTTAAAAGCTCTGAATGTACTTCTAGTCTTAGGATAGGCTTCCTCAAGCTCCTCTCTCCCCACACACACTCCAATCCTCTCCCCTCCCTCGCAGTTGTTGCATGTGATTGATGACCTCATCGACTGTTCGCTTGAATTTTGTCAGACACACTGCTCATGTGCATGTGTGTGTGCGTTTGTGTTTTTGTGTGTTCAGAGGCGTACGAGGCAGAAGGGTTGGGTTTATGTTAATCAGATTCCACCATCTCTCGAAAAACAAGAATCTTCCGTGTTTCCCGATTTCAAGCATGTGTATCCCTCTTAGGACCCCCCAAAAATGTATACCCGCCACTGGGAGAATGTTCTCCCTCGCTTCTTGTGTGTGTTCTGATCTCTCTCTTTCTCTCTGGCCTGCACTCTAACTCCAAATGCAGGGCACAGTGGGATGGGAGCCGAATTATTCGGAAAACTGTGTGTTGTTGTGGGTGGAGCCGGAGCATCCATAACTGATGGTAATTCCTAGTCACAATTTGGTGATTTTGAGTTCATGACAGTTTCCAAGTCCGACTATCTTAATTCTATGATGATTCCTAATATTATTCCATTGTTCCGGAGGCGCGTGCCTCCAAAATTTGAATTCGCTAGTCATCCCAGCCACTACAAACATTTTGTTGGTTTCTGTATCTCTCTCTCTCTCTCTCTGTATATATCTTTCTGGCTCTGGGTCTGAACAAGACCACGTAATTAAGATTTTGTACTAACAACAAAAAATTACCAAAAAAAACCTCTCAGCTTTGACCGTCATAAAACTATAACAAATGAGAGTGGCCCACAGCAGCCATTGGATTCACCCCCTCTCCGTGTCTCTGCCGTTCTCTCAGCCACTCCAATTCGGCATGCTAATGGCAATTAAAGCAAATTGATCGATTGTCGCCCTCTCTGTCGCTCTTAATGCGGTTGCTATGACATTGCTCTGTGCCAATGCTGACTCACTCCTCGCTCAATACCTCTCTCTCTCTCTCGCCCCCATGATTGTTTGTGGCTGCTGGATGCCCATCGGACCGGCTCGGGCTTATCTCCCACTGGAACAGAACGGAACAGAAAGGGGAGAAATATTTATTTATACTCATATGCACGGCCGACATCTCGGTTATCGTCAGTCATGTTACTGACTGAGAAATATGCTTCTCCAACGGTTTCGGTTCCGAGCGAGAGTTCCCTTTATACGTTCTTGGCATTATTCCATTTTGGGGATCGGATCTTTTGTTTTCCTCTCAGGGTTGTAAATATGATCCTGGGAATCTTGATTTAGGATTACGGGTGGAAAGATGGTTGTTTATGGGGAACCACACGTGTACATATATATCAAACCAGTCGATTCATTTGTTTTTTTTTATCGTTTCCAATATTAAAATATACTACTTCAAGGGTATTCGTATCCACAACATTGACAGACCATTGATACCACATTTTGTATGCTATCTGCTATTATTTATTTTTCTCTATTGTTTGTCCAAAACTCATTGCCTCTTTTTCGCACTCAAAGTGTGTTTCGGCTTCTGTTTTGTTTTTTTTCCTTCGTTTCTTTCTCGAAATTTGCCCCCCAACATTTTTGTTTGTTTGTTTGCCATTTCGGTAGCTCCCCACCCGCTCCCCAATCCCTAGCACTGGTACTGGCCTCGCCTTTGCCTGCTCAGTCCCTTGGATCGGCTAATTCGTGTGTACTTTAATATATAGTCAAAAGTGCTGTTTGCCAATTGAAGTGGCGAGACCCGGTCCGGTACGGTCCGGCTCGATTCCTCCAGTGGAATCCATGCAGTCGCCTTCCGACTAACAGCGATTGTTTGTCTGATTCATGGTTTATAAATAACAACAAATGCCATTTTTCGCCACTAATAATTTGCGTTTTGTGGGATCTAATCGCAGGCAGTCGCTGCAGATGTTTCCGGTTAAATACCGACTCCATCCCGAGGGTTTACTGAACTTTGCATATGGTGGGTGGGGTGAGGTGGGGCAGAGGAATCTTCTATTCGGACAAGGGTGCAGTGCAGTCTGTCGATGATGGAAGGAAGATCATCTCAGCTGATCAAACAATTGATCAGAGAGAGAGAGAAAGAGCGATGGATGGAATATTGACTCTTAACAAAATCCATGCATATCATTTGGGCTTTCAGCCATTCATTGATTCCTCAATTGAAAGTAAAAGTATGTTTATTTGTATGCATAAAAATGTAAAGATGATGGCATTATTATGGGGCATATCTCCTGACTCATATAGTGGGTGTCATTACCACAAACTCAAGAAATAATATATGCACATATAAAGAAAAATACGGGGACAGAGAGATTAAACCGCACAAAATCCTCAACCCCATCTCCATTCGCTTTCCCAACCCAATCCGACTTTCACTCGCTTAATCATCATCATCATCAATGTGGGGTCTAGAATCTGAAATCTATAAACAATTGCCCGAAGGAGGAGTGTGAAGAGGGGCAGCCGCAGCCGTAGCCGCCTTCCTAATGACATTTTCAATGGCTGACAAACCACAAGGCAATGAACCACAACAGCAGTTATTGTTGTTAATATTGTTAAATACTCATTGTCTCATTTCGAGGGGAGGTCGAGTAGTTACGTATTCAATTGTGTGTGTTTCCCGTAAGTAGATACATACCAAATTACCTTTAATCTATCATCTGTTCACCCAAATAAACATGGGAAACGTCTGAACTTCTGTAAAAATTCTCCTGTTGGCCCTCGATGCGATAACCCATACAATGGGAACCAAGTTGATGATTTAATGTCCATCCGCTTTGTTCGCTCGGCTTGGCTTTATCTAACGGCTTCTTTAGCGCTGCGAAAAACGATCGCCGGAGTGCTGTCCCTCCGCGTGGATTGGATCGCTCTTTATCGGAATCGTAGGGCTAGGCATTTGTTTATCTTTGCTGTGCACTTCCTTCGCGGTCTGCAAAAAAGAAAACCACTCATAATGATAAAAACATAAAGACATCTGTTTTTTACTGCATTCATGCATACATACATACATACACATACATACATATGTATAGCAAACATTGATGATAAACGGTAAAAGACTTTGGACTTATATGGGATGGGATGGTATGTAAGATCATGCGGCGAATTCCAGGAAAAATCATTTGTGTACCCCAGATTACGGATTACTACTATACGAGCTAGATATACCGATGGAGGTATATCTTTCTTCTATGGAAACATCTTTTGCTGGCAATCAATGGGGGATATCTATCCACATTACAGGTTTCAGTGTGTAAATCTTGCGGACCGGCCAGAGATTACGTATTTCCGACTTTGTGTATTGAAACTGCTATGAGATGCTACCATTCACGTGCGCCTTGATTTATGAATAATTTCATGCCATATTGTGCTCAATATTTATTTATTCAAGATTATAAACAAATGCACTTTTGATTTATCAACTGATGATGCGGTAATCGACTCACTGAACACCTTTGTTTATGTTTATGTACATTTGCGGTTGTGGAAATTTAAGATACGCAAGAAAATCGCTCAAGTGCCGCATGTGGGCTATTAATCGGATATCATACAGAATTCTGTTGAAAAATGCCATTCCGCAAAACTATACCAGATATAAAACCATATGTACGGGTATAGAGTTATATATTATAAAATTACGTACTCATGGGGATTGCTTCTAGCGACATTCTCCTGGTCACAATTATTTGCAAAACAGAAGGATATATGGATATACAACTAAAGCAACGTGCCAACTTGGCTTGATTCTGGATGTTTTGATAAATGGCTTTCTTTTGTGTACAATATCTGTGTACAATGTACATGCATATGCGGCATAGGACTCAGAAGTAACTTAATAAAGAATGAAAGTGACTTCCAATCTGTCAATTGTCGGGTATTTATTTGGTCTTACCGCTATCAGACGATGACCGTAGATGCATTTATGGGGAAATGCCAAGCCTTATGTCGTATGGGAGCACCTATGTACGCATGTAGGTACCACTCACGCTATTACTCATCTCGCATGGCCGTAGACAGGTTCGAGCTGCGTTTGGGGGGATCGGATCGAGAACACAAATTGAGGGAAAAATTTAAAATGCGTATCCGGTGTGACGGTCAAGTAATTCATTATGTACGAGTGCACACTCACACACACACATACACACAGATGGATATGGCTTGGATTCGGAACGGAACGGAACGGAGCGGAGCGATATATGTACATACATATGTAGGTATTATACGATGAAGTCATGTACATCGTGTCAAATTTGTATATAGTAAAAGTAGCGCGTACTTTTCGCCTGCTCTGGCACAAATATGGGAGGGAAGAGAGCTCGTTGCGCCGTCTCTTTGTCACCTTGTTTACTTATTATTCTCTCTCCCTTTTGATGCACTCTTTTATTCGCATATTTATTGTTTTATTTCTGTTTTCTGTTTTGTTATTACGAAAAGCGCGTCGAGGCAAATCACTCAGCCTCAATGATGATCTCAGAGCGGAACGGGGAGTGGAACAGTGGAGTAGGGGAGATCGGAGAGGGATGGTTATGGAAGGTTATTGGATGGAGGAAGGGCTGGGTTGGGTCTGGTTCACCCATAACATCACAATTAATTAATCAATATATTTTGCAATCAATTCCCCATAAGGGGGAATGGGAAATGTTTTACACATAAATATATACATACATATGTATGTAAATATGCTATTTTTATAGCATTCAGCACGTTTTGCAAAAAAGTCGAACAAAAAGTCAACAAAACCGAACAGAGGCAAGAGTAAAGATAATTTAATAATTGTTTAGCTTAATTAACACACAGCCAAAGCTGCGAAAACTGCATGTAAATTTCCACTAATTGAATGTGAACAAAAAGCAATGGGAAGAATTATCATTCAATAAAACATCTTGAAACGAGAAGGAACGTGTAGGTCGCTTCTGGGGACGCGACTCTACTTATACTCGTACTCAGTCAGTATATACATTTTTGAGCATGATTTTTTAGAATATTAAAATTTAAATTTAAGTGCGAGCGAGAAGGAAAATGAGTTGCGTTGTCGTGGGCGAGAGGGGGAGGGGAAGCAACTGAAAATGAATTTCTTCATTCTGGCTATAATTATGATCCGATCTGATTCAGATTCGGCAATCTGGTAGATATGGTAGATATGGTAGATATGGTAGATCTCTACGATACTGCGTTTTTAGTTTTATCGTATCTTTAAAACTGTGCCTGCCACAGATTTTCGTCCTTTGTGGGGGTGGAAGGGGGCGGGGCGAAATTCTGAAATACACTTGTAGCAGTGTGATATCACATGAGTCTGGAAACCAAATTTGGTTTCTCTAGCTCTTATAGTCTCTGAGATCCAGGCGCTCATCAAGACGGACGGACGGACAGACGGACGGACAGACGGACATGGCTATATAGACTCGGCTATTGCTGCTGATCAAGAATATATATACTTTATGGGGTCGGAAACGTTTCCTTCTCTACGTTACACACATCCACTTTTACCACAAATCTAGTATACCCCTTAACTCTTTTTTGAGTACGGGTATAAAAATACGAAATATTTTACGGAGGACTGTGATGGGAGATGAACTTGATTGTACAACAAAAGGGACTGGTAATAGGTAATACTAAATAGCTTGAACTCTTCGATTAAATCGCACAGCTAATACTTGTTTTTCTAGAAGAATAAATGTAATTTATCTTTCTATTTGTATGATCATCCAAGCTAGTTTTTATTCCCACATAGCTCTGTAGGAACTGACTTCCAAGCCTTGCAATGCCTCCTTTCTACCCTCTCACTCTCGTCATCTTTCTTCTATGGTCCTCTCTGAGAGAGTCCTTCAATACCAACTGTTTCACCAACACAAATACAGCCATGGAGTGGGAAAATGACAAGAATAACGGGCAGCAAAATAACGGAGAGCCAGCAGAAAGCTTCCAGTCCCAATCTTACGATGCAATATATCAAACCCCAACTGGAAATACATTGCATTGGGACGCTCGCTCTCATCTGCATTTCAATCTCTGCCTCTCTCTGAAATCTTCTTTCATATGCATTTGTTTTGTTATTGTCAACCGATTTCCAACTTCATTGTGTGATCATCCATTATAATGGCTTTATTCCTTTGTCCTCTGTCCTCGGCACTCCCTCTTCCTGCTCTCCATCATCATCATCAGGTGTGTCTGTGCCGCTGCATGTGTGTGTGTGTCTAATTAGAACTTGCAACTGCAACTGCAGCTGCACCCAGAAAAAAAAAACAGAAAAATAAAGAGGAACATTAAATTGAAGTCACGTAAGCATATTTGCCGATTTCATTATGGTGCATTCCCGCCCGTTAAATGGTGCATTTAACCATTTTACACAAACGTCCAGGTAAAAATGGGTTCTGTTTGTTGATTTGTTTGATTTTCTGCTTGTTGGGGTTCACTGCGTTCATTACAAGCCAGGGAATGTGAAGCCACCACACAATGGTCGGTCGTGGCTTTGCATGGAGTACCCTATGATCGGTCCCTGAGGAAGATGCCGTCTTAGAATTGTGAAATTTCTGAGATGGAAGCAAACTTTGTTTTGGGAAATGGAGCATATCTTTGTCTCCCCACTGTATGGATTATTAACTCCGAGTACCCCTCAGCAGCAGCTGCTGTGATAATTCCATATTTGCATGAGCAAGCAAATAGGCCCCTGGTTAAGTGTCTTGAAAGATACTCCACTCTTGGATGCCATCACAATAAGCCTCGGCAGCCCATCTGTCAACAAATTTAGCCTTTTGATTACCCCCATATCTTGCCTATATATACATATATACATATGCATAAGCACAGGTTCAATAAACCATCAACGCTTTTTGTTCTTTCGTTTTTCCAGGCCTCCATGGACTTGCCGCCGGACAAGGCAAAGCTGCTGCGTAACTACGATGACGAGAAGAAGTGGGACATGATATGCGATCAAGTGAGTGCCATAACAAATGGTTTTTTCATGCCATTAAAGCGTGCATAAACCTGATTATATTTCTATGCTGAAAAAAGGCTGCTATCAGCAACTTCTGGCGGGGGGCCAGAACTTCCGTTCAAACTATTAGCAGCACTTTTGGAATTTGACCGACTCTCCCTTAGTCGCTGGTCAAAGGGGTTGGAGATGGGAGTGGCTCTATGGCTCCATGGCTCTATGGCTCTTTGGGGGGTTAAGTATTTGGTTGATGTCTCTCCTCCATTCATGGCGACACCTTGAACGCTGACCTTTAGGCTGTCTAGAAGTGAAGTGGCCGCCGCTCCAATTAAACCCCACAGCAAATGGCTTTGCGCAATATATGTAATTGTTGCACACACAAACACACGCATAAACATGTGTACGTATGTATGTGTGTGTGTGCCTCAGCTACGAGGGCCACCAGTTGGAATTCCGAAGGCGTTTATGCGCTGATCAAATTTACGAAACGAAATTCCCTTTCAGTTAGCAAAGTTTTGGGGTTGGGTGGCTTGTATAAAGGAAAATGTGGATGTTAAGGCTGGAAAATGCAACATTTATGGTTTAATCGAATCCGAAAGATATTCGGGATAATTGAGGATTGTTTTGGCCTAAAATAAATCTCTTCCGATCTGCCATTTCCTATTTGTTTGCTAACCTGACATTGGCTTAATCACTTAACCGATTTAAACGTGCTCTTACAGTCATGACTGTAGTTGTAAATAGACCGTAGAACATGTGTTCAAGTTGATGTGATGCACATATGTCTCGTCGCTTCGTATGATTAGAGTATCTTGTACTCGTACGGCTTTTTGTCAATCATTATGCAGTGCGTGCTGCTTGTCGCTCGCATGTTTTTGATGTCGTCGCTTTTTGCCGCTTCACACAAAAGTGTTGAACGATTCGATTCCATTTTCAAATGGCTCATTTGCTGGCTGAATCCAAAAATGAAACATTTTGGCAACGAATGGGGAAGTTTATACAGCTTTATGTACAGAACCATATACTCGTGTGTATGGATGTATGTGTACGGACACCGTGTAGGACAAATCTAGATTGCGTGCTTCTGATGATGATGTGGGGGGACTGGAACTGGGACTGGGGCTGTCGGAAGATATGACGAAACTATTAACGTCTGCGCCAGAGCGTGCCCCTTTTTCGGTGGATTCTACTCGTATCTATCCGTCTATCCGTATCCAAATCCATCCATCCAACCAACCATCTATGTATCTCGGCTTGTAACTGGGTCACTGAATTTTCAAGAGCTGCACCTAGAAACTGACAACAACGGTGCTGCACAACAAAGAGAATATACTGCTATACGCGTAGGTAAATACGAGCATTTTCGCCACAGGCTTATGTCGGAGTGGAGTGGAGTGGAATACTCGTAGAGCAGGAAGAGGAATGCCCTGCTCGGACTTGGGACTCGCGTCAAACATTTTCTGCCATACGATAAAATATCATAAACACCCAACATGGCTGCACTTTGGTGTTGTTTTTTGTCCACGTCGTCGCCGGTTCCTGAACGACCGAACCGCCCGCCGCCGCCGCCTGCCACACAGAGACAGAGACCTGTTTTCCATAATTCAGACGGTAACACTGCACCGTGGGTGCAAATAAAACATTGGGTAAAAGCACCGTTGTGACCGAGTCGAGTCATGCACACGACATGTATGGTGGTGCAATGATTCTCTTTTCCAGCAGCACGTTTATGCCGCTTCAGTGGGAGAAATGGGATCAGTTGGAAGCAAGGACGTGCCCACCGATGCTCTAAAGGATTGTCAAAATTACATCTACTTTTTGGTATATTGTATGTACTAAAAACCTGCCATGCTTCGTTGAAATGTGAGAAAATAAAACAGAAATCCATAAAATTGAAAGAGAACGCTGTGAATGTGTCCACAAGTATAAAAATCATGTTGGTTGGATATACTTATATTTAATAATCATTTTCATGCCACTAGCCCACTGTAAAACCAACTCTGTAGCGTAGTCTAGTCATGAAAATGAATGAAAACGCAGCCCACAGACAGACAGCGAGACAGAGAATGGGACAGGTCCGACGGACGATGATGGTGGAGGCGAAACTTGCCACTCGAGGACGACTGAGACTGTGAGACTGACTCCTCCAAGTGACTCCTCGAGGGAAGCCAATCCCACGAAGCTCTCTCTCTCTCTCTCTTTCTCTCTCCCGCTTTCGAGGCTCACAGTGACAAAATGCAAATTATTATGACTGCGATAAATTGCAGTTTTTAATCGTTGTTGGAGCCGCTTCCATACATATACATATATCTTTATCCATCTATAGATATATATACGTATATGGAAATGTATTTATGTGTATATGTACCTGGTATGCATGTTGATATTTATTTCTTCAGGCCTCTTCGACTAGGAAAAAGAATCGAAACTGGTTTTTCTTTGACTGCAGCTCCCCGATCCGAGACCCCAAACCACACACACAAAACCCACACATAGTTTAGGTTGTAGTCATGCGTTGGTTGGATCTCTGGTATCGCATTTGTTGCTGTTGCTGTTGCTTTTGCTATTGCTGTGGCTTGGGATTGGGTTTGGGGCTGTTTGGCTGTTGTGGTTGGTGCCTTAGTGGTTGGCATAGTTAAACAAAACACAAGCACACAGAAAGCTAAAACAAGTATACCACGCTTCATGCTCAAAAATGCTTAAAAATGTTCAACGTTAGGCAAGCACCCATCGATGCTTATGTGATCGCGCTGCTCCAGCCTCGGATCGGATGGGATGGGATGGGGATGTGAATGTGCATGTGCATGTGAATGGGGATGGGGATCGACGTGTGGAACTGCAGACATAATCGTACTACACAAATATGCAGTTACGGCCGCCAGTAAAAATATAAATAAAAAACAAAAGTAAAAGCCGCCGCCAAGCCTCCGCCTGGTGTTAATGCTTTAGGAGATCTCTCTCTCCCTCTCTTTGTCTCTTTGTCTCTTTGTCTCTTGTCTACCTCCTCCCCATAAACATTACCCCCCGGAAGAGCCAACCCAGAGCTCAGTTCATTGAACAGAGGGGCTTGGGTAACTCCTCTGCCACTGCAACTGCCACATTCATTTCCACTGAAGATGATTGCATTGTGATCTGATTTCCTGCTGTTGCCATTAAACGGTCAAACTAAAGATAGTCCGAGGAATGTCAATAAGCAGATTTAGATAGGAAGTTTTGAACATATTTCGAGATGTAAAAGATGGGATTGATTTATCAGAAACAGATATTTAAAGGACATTCGGATGAGTCTTGTGTGAATTCACAGCATTCATAAAACCACAGCCTGTACTCAAGCCTCTTTTTAATCATTTTGATTATTACGAATCACTTCTTCAGTCAGATTCGAATTACCCCAATGCGAGCATTGCGAAAGGACTCAAAACATACTACGGAGATTGCTTAAACATTCGGCTTTTTTGCACTAAACAAAATGTTGAACTATTCGTTCGTTTTCCTTCTTTTTTTTTTTGGTCGCAAAACATTATTAATTATTTTTAGTGTAAAGCAATTAACCTGATTGGATTCGTGCCTGATGTCTACTGATTTACACAAATAAAGATTTTCAGGCAGAAAAACCAGCAAAACTCTACCAGATGATAAAACGGAGAGTGAGCGAGAAAAAAAAACCGAAATTTTCGGATCAAACCGCGTAAAAATTACAACCAGTCCGTTTTGGAACGAGAAAGCAGAGACGCTGATTCTAACTGACCGAACAAAGCGAATAACGAATCCCACCGAATCGATTCGGCTGCCTTTTCTCACCAAGAGCTCTAGTACAAATAATCCTCTGTTGATATTTTATTATTAATTAATGAAAAGTTAAATAATTAAACTCTCGAAACTTTCGCTATGTAGCGGCCGAACAATAATACTTCGCATAATATGTACTATACAATGAACTGTACATACAAATACAAACATATGTAAATATGTATGTGTGTACATATTAAGCTGAGCATACCTCGACTTCTTAATTAGATATTTCGCCCCAGCTTGTAGGAAATAAACTTAATTGCTGAAAAATCGCAACGCGGGTAGGTGCCTTTGTTTTTTATGGGTGAACAAATCATATTCCGTTTAAATTTCTGTTCTTCTGGCAATATCTGATGGATAAAAGTCAGGCTGCAAATTTGTAGTCTCCAGATTGATCACAATCAAGAGGGAACAATAAACGAGCAGAGTAGATGAAAAATCCTCTGCCTTTTCCATATACATATTTACACACACATATTATATGTATATATATATATATCCTGTATATCCTCAAACTAATCCCCGTTTGTCGCATACGTCTTTTTTCTTCTGCAGGAAATGGTGCAGGCGAAGGATCCTCCCTCACATTACTTGAGCAGATTGCGAACATATTTGGACCCAAAGGCATCGCGCAGTCATCGGGTAAGATATCCATGTGCATATTACATGGGAATACAATCCATCCGATTGGTGTTTGGTCTCTGGTTGTTTTGGTGTCTGGTTGTCTGTTTGTCCCTTAACCCTTAACCTTTAACCTGCCCTTGGGCCAAAGCTAAAATTGTAGACTAAAATGATTAAATCTTAAACCGAATTCTGTTGTTGTTCCATTAATTAATGTGTAAATTTCTCATTTCTCTACTCACAAAACACTGACAAACACACACACACACACACACACCACCACGATCCAACACGAAACTCCGATCTCTTTTCTTCCTCTCTCTCTCTCTCTCTCTATGGTATCCCGCTGCACCTGCACCACCCAAATCCTGAATCCCTGTATCCATCCTGCTCCCGAATCCTGCATCCTCCTATCCAACCGCTGCTCTCTCTCTCTCTCTCTCTCTCCTTGTACACTTACAGCTTTACCTCTTGTACTTTTTTTGCCAGAAACGGAAAATGGTAGGCGAGTCGACGTCCACGCAGGTGCTGCGGGACCTAGAGATCTCGCTCCGAACGAACCACATTGAGTGGGTGAAGGAGTTCCTCGACGACAAAAACCAGGGCCTGGACGCCCTGGTGGACTATCTCAGCTTTCGGCTGCAGATGATGCAGCACGAGCAGCGTCTGCAGGGCGCCCTCTGCGCCTCCGAGGAGCGCCTAAACCTAACCAGCGGCGGGGATGGCGTGGAAATGGTACTCGGGCAGAACAGCTCGCTCAGTCCCTCCCAGAGCCAGCCTCACAATCACACTCACAATGGGGCCCTGGGCAATGGCTCTCTCCTCCTGCTGGACAGCTCGAGGCAGCAGCAGCACGTGTCGTACGGCTTCCTGCGTCCCACCATTGCCGATGCCATGGACAGTCCCAGCCTGAAGCGGCGCTCGCGTCACATTGCCAAGCTGAACATGGGAGCGGCCACCGACGACATCCACGTGTCGATAATGTGCCTGCGGGCCATCATGAACAACAAGTACGGCTTCAATATGGTCATTCAGCATCGGGAGGCGATCAACTGCATCGCCTTGAGCCTCATCCACAAGTCGCTGAGGACAAAGGCGCTGGTGCTGGAGCTGCTGGCGGCCATCTGCCTGGTGAAGGGGGGGCACGAGATCATCCTGGGCTCCTTCGACAACTTCAAGGACGTGTGCCAGGAGCAGCGGCGCTTCCAGACCCTCATGGAGTACTTCATGAACTTCGAGGCCTTCAACATCGACTTCATGGTCGCCTGCATGCAGTTCATGAACATCGTGGTGCACTCCGTGGAGGACATGAACTACCGCGTCCATCTGCAGTACGAGTTCACGGCGCTGGGGCTGGACAAGTACCTCGAGCGGATCCGGATGACCGAGTCCGAGGAGCTGAAGGTCCAGATCTCCGCCTACCTGGACAACGTCTTCGATGTGGCCGCCCTAATGGAGGACTCGGAGACGAAGACGTCGGCCCTGGAGCGGGTCCAGGAGCTGGACGATCAGCTGGAGCGTGAGATTGACCGCAACTCCGAGTTCCTTTACAAATTCGGCGAGCTGGAGTCGGAGAACATCAAACTGAAGACGGATCGCGACCAGCTGACGGTGGCCCGTCAGAATCTGGAGGAGGAGCTGACGGCCCTCCAGCGGATGCTGCAGCAGAACGAACAGGAGCTGCAGAAGCGCGACACGCTGCTGCGCACCAAGAACCAGGAGCTGCAGACCCTGTCCCGCTCCCTGCCCCGTTCCGCCTCCAGCGACGATGGATGCCTCACGAATGGCGGGCTCCTGGCTGGCGCTGCATCGGGCGCTGCCTCGCCCCTGCCCCCGCCGCTACCTCCACCGATGCCAACTGCAGCAGCAGCTCCGCCACCGCCACCGCCTCCACCTCCGGCACCGCCCGCCCCGCCGCCACCGCCCATGATGCCCGGCATGGGTCTCAGTCCGCTGGGCAGCCCCAATGGCAGCATCGCCTCGATGGCGCCCTACACACCGTATGCTCAGCCCATGCTATGCTCGTTCGCGCCGCCGCCTCCTCCGGTGGCCGGCTTCATGCCCGCCCCCGACGGCGCCATGACCATCAAGCGGAAGGTGCCCACCAAATACAAGCTGCCGACTCTCAACTGGATACCGCTGAAGCCGAATCAGGTAAGTGGATCGGACAGGCTGCGCCTTGATCTTCCCCTACTCATGTTTCGCTTTTGCAGGTGCGTGGCACCATCTTCAATGAGCTGGACGACGAGAAGATCTTCAAGCAGATCGACTTCAACGAGTTCGAGGAGCGCTTCAAGATTGGCAGCATTGGCGGGGCTCTGCACAACGGCATCGCTGGCTCGGAGGTGGATGGCTCGTTGCAGGCCAGCAAACGGGTCAAGCGGCCCGACCATGTCTCGCTGCTGGAGCACTCGAGGTTAAGAAACATTGGTGAGTGCGGGGAAGAGGAGAGCCAATGTCCTAGCCCTTACTGATTGCTGATTACTCCCTTAGCAATCTCCCGGCGCAAGCTTGGCATGCCCATCGACGATGTGGTGGCTGCCATACATGGGCTGGATCTGAAGAAGCTGTCGCTGGAGAATGTGGAGCTGCTGCAGAAGATGGTGCCCACCGATGTCGAGATCAAGGTCTACAAGGAGTACATAATTGCGCGCAAGGATCCCCAGCTGCTCAACGAGGAGGACAGGTTCATGCTGCAGCTGTCGCGCGTCGAGCGCATCTCCTTCAAGCTCTCGATCATGAACTACATCGGCAACTTTTTCGATAGCGTCCATCTGATCAGTCCGGTATGGATCAGCAGTCTGCGCTGGATCGCTGCGTGGCTGATCTTCTAATCCGATCTTCTGCCTTTTCTGTTGCAGCAAGTCCAGTCGATAGCCGGAGCCTCCATCTCCCTGAAGGAGTCGCGCAAGTTTAGGGCGGTGCTGGAGATTGTTCTGGCCTTTGGGAACTATCTGAACAGCAACAAGCGCGGACCGGCCTATGGCTTCAAGCTGCAGTCGCTGGACACGCTCATCGACACCAAATCGACGGACAAGCGGTCGTCGCTGCTGCACTACATTGTGGCCACAATACGGGCCAAGTTCCCGGACCTGCTCAACTACGAGACGGAGCTGCAGTGCACGGACAAGGCGGCGCTGGCGTCGCTCGAGAATGTGGTGGCCGATGTCCACGAGATGGAAAAGGGCATGGATCAGGTGCGCAAGGAGGCCGAGCTGCGCGTGAAGGGCACCCAGACGCACATCCTGCGCGACTTCCTCAACAACACCGAGGACAAGCTGAAGAAGATCAAGAGCGACCTGCGGCACGCCCAGGAGGCGTTCAAGGAGTGTGTCGAGTACTTTGGCGAGTCCGCGCGGACTACCGATGCGGCCGCCTTCTTTTCGCTGATTGTCCGCTTCACGCGGGCCTTCAAGGTGGGTGCCGTCGAGTACCGACTCTAACGTTTGAGATTCCCCTACATTGTTTGTCCTTTTTGCAGCAACACGACCAGGAGAACGAGCAGCGTCGTCGCCTGGAGCAGGCAGCGGCCCTGGCTGCCTCCAAGAAGGAGAACAACGCCCAGGTCCTGATGCGCAACAAGCACAACCAGAAGAAGCAACAGGTGAGTCCCGGACAGCGGCAGCGGCAGCTGCCCAGGGTGGCCTCCAACTCCTGCGAATCGGATGTCTAACTCCTACCTGCTCATTTCTCCAATGCTCTCGTAACCTGTGACGCTTTCATTCTGATCCGATTTACGCAGCAAATACATTGCCTGCTCGACTTTGCCAAGCAGCACATCACTGTGGACACTTGCCTCCCATAACTCCATACCCAGGGGCACCACCAACCACCACCAATCACCACCAACCACCTCAACCTCCTCCAACCTCCACCCTAGCACGTCACGTTAACTACTTGGTCATTTGGTTAACAGCTCGAAACATACACACAAAGCGCAGACACTTGGTTTTGGCTGCCTGCTCCCCCCACAAATCCAACCAATATCCAACACCATCCACCAACACCACTAGCACCATCTTCTTTGGGGGACGGCATGTGGCGGGATTTGTTTTGTGATTAGTGTAAGTCGCGTGGCTTGTGTCATCTTTTGTCTAACCCAGTACCCAGTGCCCAGTACCCGCCTGTCTCTTGGCTCCTATTCTAATCCCCACGCTGTGTGGCCTAATCCTCGCTAATTCCATTGCTAATCCAAATCCAAATCCACTTACGACTGCGACCATTGGACTCTTGCCAGAAATGTATCCCTGCTTCGATGATTAATATTTCGTTGATGTGGGAAAAGTTTCAAACAGTTCCAAAAGCTAAAACATATTTCATTTTAACACTTAACACAGACTCTTTGAACTCGTTCGAACGCGCAATTAGGAATAGTGCCCCTTCCCCCCTTATAACACGCTAGACTCTCGTTGTTGCACTTGGTTTTGCTTTTGTTTATCTCTAAAAGAGCTTAAAGAGATCCATATTAAAGGGAAAGGGAGCTCCTTATGATGATCCCCTCATCGAAAGGGCATTTAAAGTTGAAGCAGTTTGAGTCCATGCCTCGCCTATAGAGTATCGGTTAAATCGAGTGATTTAAGCTAGTGCTAGGTGCATACATTTAATTTGATTTGAATCGGTCTATAGCTTTGTTTGCTTTTCCTGTTAACTGATAGATTGAAACAGTAATTTAAAGATTCCCGCAGCAAACGTTTAATTTAGTTTAATATTTTTAGATTCTTAAGCAAAATAGCTTCCACAGGCAAAAGCCTGCGAGCATATTTTAGATCTCATCAAAACAAAACTAACATAGTGACTAACCGCGACTAACCGCTTAGAATAAATCAGTGTCTGTCTGTCGTACTGGTGATGGTTCTCTTTGACTAATGGCTGTATCTATTTATTTTCTTTAATCCCCCCCCCGCCACAACCTGTCTTCGCTCCGGGTTGCCCTACGACACGTTTAACAGTTGGCTTCAACATGCGCACTCTCCTTGCAGGACGCCGTTATCAACGAGCTGAAGAGCAAGGCGCATTCGGTGCTCGAGAAGAAGCTGATGCAGCAGGACGAGGTCTACAACGGGGCCCTGGAGGACATACTGCTGGGGCTGAAGAGCGAGCCGTATCGGCGGGCGGATGCGGTGCGACGATCGCAGCGCCGGAGAATCGACAATAATCGCCTGTCGCGCACCCTGGAGGAGATGGATTGCTAGGCGCGACGACCACGACCACAAACAGCAACGAATCGAAAATCAAAATTCAAAAACGAAAAAAAAACAATATATTTAACAAATATTGAGGAGATACTGCAATATGTGATTGGGCGATTAAATTGTTTTGGACACATGCAACAGACACACTCACACTCACACACACACACACACACTCACATTCCCTCCCACAGGAACAGGCACGATGTTGCGCCTCGACTCGAATATTTTCAGTATAACTTTAAGGTGAATATTGGATCCTTCCCCCCTCCCAGCATCCCTTCCTATCCGTGAATCTCGAATCTTGTTTTGTGAGAAATATTTTTTCGCCAAAATGTTTATAAAATGTAATTTGATTTAATTTTGATTGGCTAGCGCTTAAGTTGAATGAATTGATTCGAGGGGTGTATTTATCAGATATTTAATTGTTAAATAATGGTTTACCTTTTTAAACTGTGTACATATATGCGTATATACATACATACATCTATCCATGTAATGTATACATGATGTTTAGTTTATCGTTTAGTTGTCGATGCTTAAGTTTTAACCAAATTGGAATCACTTCGATCCGCATGAATATGGAAACTATTCCAAATACACCTAAGAAATAAATTCATGAGAGAGTAAAATGCACTCAATTTTGTATATTTTTAATTTTGTTCTTTTTTTAAATGCCTTTTTTCCACTCCACACACAGCAGCGCAGCCCTAGTACTTTTATAAAGAGAAGCGCCAAAATATTGCAATTAACAACAAATAATTACTTTTTAGGACGTTTTTACAGAACAGAACAAGACATTTTATACAATTTTATTGGAATTTTTATACGAACGATATACACAATCGTAGATACTACATATGAATAAGAATTATATTCCATTTATACGCCAATTTATTCTCACAAGCCACAACAAATTGTTGAAGACTGAAAATGGAGCAGTTGACTAAAAGAAAAACAAACAAACAAACACTCGGATATTACATATATAGTATACATAATATACATAAATAATAAATTGAAAAGCTTTTGTAACAATCTTTTCGAATAGTGTCTTCTCTCAACATAGATATACATTTTTATACATTTATAAACGCAAAATGCAATAACGAATTTAGTTGAACTTTAAGCACAGTTTTACACGTGCCATTGGCATCCTTATGCATATCCTTTGAGTAGAGTAGACCTTCTCTTTCATTTGCCAATGCCAAACGAATATGCATATTAGCAAAGCTGGAAGCGTTCTAGAACACGCGGCATACTTGATTAGCACGCGCTCTGCATAGTTCTTAAACATATTGTGTTATTTAATTTGATAAGAACCCAGCAACACGATTATGAAATGCCGGATTTTATGTACACTCCCACACACACACGCACACCTACATAAATATATTGAACACGCAAACTATTTTAAAGAAATTATTATTAACCAAATAAACTAGCCAAAAGAAAAAGTGTTTGTTTTTGAATTTCAAAAAGCGTTTGCGTTGCAATTGCTTAGCCCAATGTCGACCACTGGGTATTTATATAGACGCTCGAATATTTTGAAACATATTTTACGTACTTCAGATGAAAGATATATTGCTCATTTTTGTTTTGTAAAAAGAATGAATTTACGAACGGAATTATATTCCGCGGCCTTAACTCAAGGTGATCACCTGTTTAAATAAAGCGGGGCTTAGGTGGGTTAAGTTCGTTTTTTTCCTCGGTAAATTTACGGTATATTGTGAATATTTCGGTATATTTCTTACAATCAGGCGATAAATCCGCGGTCACACTGAGCAAAGCGCCCAAAGCACAACAGCTGATTAGGGAAAACGTTTAAAAATGATTTAAATTAATGATTTCGCACCCGACGGACTACGGACGCGAGAATGTTCAAACGCACATTTACGGTGGTCTATCGGCCAATTAAGAGCAACTTTGTGCTGCTGCCGGACCAGTACTACGGCGTCGTATCGACCTATGTAAGTGTCCAAAAGTCCACTCGTGCGGCCTGGCGCCCAGATTAGATAAGCCAGTCGGTCAGTCAGTGTGCGGGATTAATGAGATTAATCCGATTCGTTAATACTACTAGGACACGGGCTGCCTCAGTTTGCAGTACAATGGACGCGTCCACTACGCCTCTTGGTCGCCGAACGCGGGTGGCGGCGGCATCAAAGACAACGAAATTGGGATCAATGCCAGGGCGGCCAAGGAGATCGGTAAGCAGTTACTTAACAGGCGGATGTGATGTGATGTGTGATGTGATGTGAGTGCATCGCATCGCTTGCCAAAATGCCGTAAAATTGGATTTTCTATTTACCGCTCTCTATATCTGTGCGGTGCATATTTATGTTGGTCTCTTTTTGTCGTAGGTCTGCATGAGTCAAGTGTGGTCAAGTGTGCGCTCATCGCTGACGTTCTCAATCTGCGCAGCGTCCACGTTACCCCCGTCTCCGCCAAAGACTGGGAGATCATTGTGAGTGATGTGATGTGCTGCGATGTGCTGGCGATGTGCTCTCTCGTTGGCTGCTCTGGGCGTGTGGTTAGGCCAGCTTAAAAATAGACAGGCAATTTATATCTTAGCATTTGGCGCGGGCGTGTGCTTGCAGTGTACACACTTGTGTGGGCATTGTGTGGCCGGCATTGCCATTGACCCCACTGTTCCGACCAGAGAAGCATCCTCGGCACTTGCATGCAAAGCGATTCTTCCATGTTTCCGAATGTTAATCCTGAAATTTCTCTGTGGCAGGAGCTAAGCAGCGAGAAGATCTCGGGCAGCGTCCTCGAGCAAACGCGCATCGTCAACTCCACGCAAATTCTGATTGTTTGGATTAACAAGTCCATGCAGGTGGCGCTGACAGTGGGTAAATATCATCGCTGAAGCACGCAACATTTTGCTCAAGTATTCAGCTTGCAGATCGTCTGAAGCCCCACACTAGCTATGGCCGAATGGACCACAACACGGAGCTGGTGGTGGCCCCCAACCTGTACAAAGGACTGACCAATGGCACGTCCAATGGCGACACCAAAGACGAGAGCACGAAACTCGCGCGCAGCAAGACGAGTGCCCAGGTCAGGGATGAATCCGTGAATGGCAAGCCGGCGCCGCTCAGCCATTCCGCCACGGCGTACAGCGTGAAGAATACGTTGCAGCGCAACAAGCGGCAGGATCACATGGAGCGTCTCAAGAAGGATCTGCGCAGGGAGAGCTCGCGAAGCTTCGAGTTTCGTGTGATACGCGGTCTATGGCGGGAGCAGGCCCAGGAGTCGGATGTGTATGTGAATGGCAGGCACCTGCCCGAGTTCATGGATCTGGAGCAGTTCTACTGCATGCACACGGCTGGCGACAAGGACTACTACGTGCGGGTGCGCACGATTGCCGAGGAACTGCAGGGCGATCTGCCCGGCACCATTCATCCGTCCATTGAACTGAACGCCAACTTGATGAAGCTGCTGGGAGTCAAGGAGCTGGAGCGGGTGGTGCTGCGGCCCAAGACCATCGTGGTGAACTTTGTGGAGAAGATTGAGCTGTTTGCCCACAAGAAGACGCACTACAAGATCATCGAGAATGCATTTAAGCGATTTGTGATTGAGCGCACCCAGGCGAAGCCGATGCTCTTCAACCAGGAGGAGGTTGTGCGGCTGGAGGACGATCTGCTGGTCACCGTGGGCATACTGCCGGAGCATTTCCGCTATTGCGTGGTCGATGCCCAATTTCTGAAGGAGTCCAAGATCTATGCGGCCGACTTGGTGCGTCCTGTCAATGAGATCATCAAGGAGCAGCCGCCTGCCACCTCGCCGCTGAGTGTCAAGGATCTCATACGCCTGCCAGAGTACGACAAGATTGTGGACCAGGTGGTGCGGGAGCTGCGCATGAATCTCTGCCTGAATGCAGACAATTCGGTGATGCGGCAGTGCAATGTCCTGCTGACAGGTGCCGCCGGCACGGGCAAAACGGTTCTGGTCGAGCGAATCCTGGACCAGTTGTCCCGCAAGCCGGACTACTGCTACTTCGACATCTTCTACGGGTCGCGCAGCAAGGGCCGCAAGACCGAGTCCATCCAGAAGGATCTGCGCAACATATTCACCAGCTGTCTGCAGCATGCCCCCGCCATCGTGGTCCTCGAGAACCTCGATGTCTTGGCCCATGCCGCAGGCGAGCAGTCCAGCCAGGACGGCGAGTACTATAACCGCATGGCGGACACCGTCCACCAACTGATCGTCCAGTACACCAGCAGCAATGCCATTGCCGTCATTGCCACCGTGAGCGAACTCCAGACGCTCAACAAGCGCCTCAGCTCGCCTCGGGGGCGGCATGTGTTCCAAACGGTTGCCCGATTGCCCAGCCTGGAGCGACCCGATCGCGAGATTATACTGCGGGAGCTGTGCAGCCACATCGACATATCGCAGGAGCTCGATCTGACAAAGTTCTCCAATCTGACGGAGGGCTATCGCAAATGTGATCTGGTGCAGTTTGTGGAGCGTGCCATTTTCTACGCCTACCGCATCAGTGAGTGCCCAATCTTGAATCTTTAATCTGCCATCGGTAATCTGTAATTGCTCCAACTGATTATCTCCCCCTCAATCTTCCAGGCAAAACAAAGCCCCTGCTGACCAACGACCAGCTGATTGAGTCCCTGGAGCACACCAATTCCTACTGCCTGCAGGGCATCCAGAGCAATCAGAAGACTGGAAGCGATCCGGACGACAATGAGATGCGCGTGGAGGAGCTGCCGGGCCTGGAGTCAGTTGTGGGAGTGCTCGAGGAAGTGCTCATGTGGCCCTCAAGGGTAAGGCATTAGAAAACTCTTCCGAATCTGTACAAAATCTTATGCTGTATGTGCATTTTGCAGTATCCCACCATCTTCAATGCTTCGCCGTTGCGCAATCAGGCCGGAGTGCTGCTGTACGGGCCTCCGGGCACGGGTAAGACCTACCTGGTGTCCCAGCTGGCCACCTCGTGGAATCTGCGCATTATATCCGTTAAGGGTCCCGAGTTGCTGGCCAAATACATTGGCCAGAGCGAGGAGAATGTCCGAAATCTGTTCAATCGCGCTCGGAGCGCACGGCCCTGTGTGCTCTTCTTCGACGAGTTCGACAGCCTGGCCCCCAAGCGTGGCCACGACTCCACGGGGGTGACGGACCGCGTGGTCAACCAGCTGCTGACCGAACTGGACGGCGTGGAGGGCCTCCAAGGGGTCACCGTCATCGCAGCCACCTCCAGACCCGAGCTGCTGGACCCAGCCCTGCTGCGATCGGGTCGCATCGATCGCCTGGTGGAGTGCCCGCTTCCGGATGCCGTGGCCCGGGTGCGCATTTTCGAGGCCCTCAGCTCCACGCTGAGCCTGGACGAGTGCGTGGACTTTGACTGGTTTGCGGGCAGGACTGGCAATTACACTGGCGCCGATATCCAGAGCATCCTGACCTCGGCGAACATGGCGGCGGTTAAGGAGGCGCTGGCACAGTTCGGACACGAGGTAAGTGGATTATTTACACGGAATTCCATTGGCCGGAAATGGCCCTCAAGCTATGGCTAGTTCTTGGGTGACGTCTTGGGCTAGGGCCACGACTAGTGGCCGTGGAGCCCTTCCGTTTCTCGGATTCGTTTCGGTTTCGTTTCCCATCGCGCGGCAGCAAGTGCAACGAAA